GATTGGTAGTAGTTTCAGTTTTGACAGCTTCCAACCAATTTGGAATGGGTTGTGATAGAGCCATTGTTTCCCCTTCCACGTAGTTCTTATGGTTCCTCGATAAAATGTTAGCCACGATATTTTCTTTGACCATTTTATATTCAACAGAAAAATCAAATCCCATTAGTTTAAATAACCAACATTGTTGAGCAACGATGGTAATTTTTTGAGTCCCTAAATGCTTAAGACTCTGATGTTTAGTTAAAACAATAAATTGCCTACCTAACAAATAAGGATGCCATTTTTGGACTGCTAAGACCAATGCCAGAATTTCTTTTTCATAGGTAGAAAGAAGAAGATTTCTTCCCTGTAAGGCATGGCTGAAAAACATTATAGGGTGTTCTTGTCTTAAGACTGCTCCTACACTGGTTCCAGAGTCATCGCACTGGATAATAAATTTCTTTGAGAAGTCAGGGAGTGCCAGAATCGGAGATTGAGTTATAACTCGCTTGAGCTGCTTAAAGGCATTTTCTGCATAGCAACTCCACTTAAAATTGTCTTTTTTAAGCATTTTTGTAAGTGGAGCAACAATTCTTCCAAAATCCTTGACAAATTTCCTATCATAACCACAAAGGCCTAAAAAACCTCTTAAAGCCTTAGGAGTATTAGGCTTGGGCCAACTAAGCACTGCTTCAGTTTTCTCAGATCCATTGCTACTCCCTAGTTAGAGATCACATGGCCCAAATACTTTACCTCCTTTTGATAGAATTGACATTTTCTTTTTTAAATTCACAAACAACTGATGAGTTTGCAAAACAGAAAGAACAGCTTCCAGATGCTTGAGATGGTCCTCCCAACTTTTACTGTACACAAGAATATCGTCAAAAAACACCAAGACAAATTTTAGAAGAAAGTTTTTGAATACCTCATTCATTAGAGACTGGAAAGTTAAAGGAGCATTTGTTAGCCCAAAGGGCATAACCAAAAACTCATAGTGACCCTAGTGCATTCTGAATGCTGTTTTCTCGATATCTAATGGATGAACTCGAATTTGATGATAGCCCGACTGAAGATCTAGTTTAGAGAAGAATTGTGCCCCATGTAGCTCATCTAAGAGTTCATCAATAACCGGAATTGGGAATTTATCTCTGATTGTGATTTTTTTCAAAGCATGGTAGTCGACACACATTCTCCATGAGCCGTCGTGCTTTTTGAGGAGTATGACAGGAGATGAATAGGGGCTTGTACTTGGCCGTATGACTCCAGAAGTTAACATCTCTGACACAATCTTTTCAATCTCAAACTTTTGGAAATGTGGGTATCTATAGGGTCAAACAGAGACTGGGTTATGTCCCTCTTGTAAGGGAATCCGATGGTCATGCAGCCTGACAGGTGGTAATTCCCTGGGTTCATTGAAGATTGTAGAAAATTGATCAAGGAGTTGCTTTATTTCTGGTAAAAGCACTTTCTCATTTGTTGCCTCAACCCCATGTCCATTGATTTGGAGAAGCATCCCTCACCTTTTTTTTCAGGTTACTTTCTCAATCATGAAATTATCTACAACCTCATCTTTTGGCATTGATGATCCACGCAAAGTAACTTCCTTTCCATCAAGGCTAAACCTCATTACCATCCTTGAAAAGTCCCAAATGACAGGCCCTAGAGCCTGAAGCCATTGTGTTTCCAAGACAATGTCATATCCTTCTAGTGGAAGAACATAAAGGTCCACGTTTAGCGGTACTCCTTGGAGAGTAAGCGAAACCTAAGTGCAGCAACCAGAGCTAGCTAACTTTTTTCCAGAGGCAACCATCACTTCTAATTTCCCTTAGGCTAAAGGTTGAAGACCAATGCGAGAAGCGAAACTTTCATTAATAAAGTTGTGTGAGCTTCCAAAGTCTAGCAATATTAGAACTATCTTTCCCCTTATTCTTTCGTGGATTTGCATGGTGTTGGGGTGCAACATGCTAACCATTGCATGGAGTGATATTGCTGGCATCTTTGGAGAAGTAGGGCTCTCTAGATCTATGTTGACATCTTCACCTTCTGGCTCCATAATGACTTAGATTGCAAAAAAACTTTTGCAACGATGTCTTAGGCCAAACTTCTCATTACAACGAAAACAAAGTCCAAGTCGTCTTCTTTCATTAACCTCATCTAAACTCAACTTCTTAATTGGATTACTAGCAGTGGCAGGAGAAAAAACAAGAGGCTTGAGTGCTGGTGGTACTCCTTTTGTTGGAAGGGAAACTTTCTTTTGTGCAGCTACCTTTGCTTCAAAGAGTCTTGCTAAGCTAATGGCTTCGGACAATGTAGTGGGTCTGTTTGCCATAACTTTGGTGCGGATTGCATCCTTGAGCCCACTTGCAAAACAACTCACTTTTCTCTCTGTAGATAGTGGTCCTGCCTTAGCAAGAAGTCTCTCAAATTGCGCTTGGTATTCTAGGATAGAACCAAGTTGGTGTAACTTAGTCAACTCTCCAAAAAAATCTTGGAACTAACTTGGACCAAAACGTGAATGAAGATGGTGCTTGAATTCATCCCATGTCAAGTTGTCAGTCTCCTATTTGAGAAGTTGGAACCAGAGTTGAACCTCATCTTCTAAGTGGAAGTAAGCCAAAGTCACTCTTTCAGCTAATGGTGTCTCATGGAATTGGAAAAATTGCTCGGCCCTACAAAGCCAACTGGTGGGATCTTCTCAACCATTATAGCGAGGAAAATCGAGCTTGACGAGCTTAGGTGTATAAGTAGCACCGAATGCACGGCTGTGGTTATTATTGTGTGGATTAGAAGAAACTTCTCTATTGTTTGAGGTCTCTCCCCTTGTATGGCTGGAGAATTGGTCAATCTTCGAGTTTACTTGGGACATGAATTCGTTCATCTGGTGAAGCAGAGCTTGTTGTCCATTGGAGAGAGACTGAACTATATTTTCCAAGGTCTCCATGTGTTGATCCATAGCGAGGCTCTGATACCAAGCTAGAATGTATGTGTTTAACTTCCCCTTGGCTTTACCTATGGTGACCTTTGGAGGAAGGCAAAATGTGGGGTGTTGGAGGTTGAAGATAAGAACAGGGAACAAATGTAAAAGAAAAGAAAAGTAGAGCTTATGGAGGAACTCTTGACCTCTGATAGAATAAACTATCTTTTGGATACTAAAATTCTTAATGCCTTTATTCCAGAGAATCAAGTTTATTTATACAACGAAAAGTAAAATAGAAATCGCATGTTAGTTTGAAATATTCAAACTGCAACTGATTACCTCATGATGATCTCCTACAGGTGCGGCAAGTGAGAAAGCTATGGAGAGAAACTTGTGAAAAGATATCGTGAATAACTGGACTGTTGAATTGTTCAAACATGCGTACAAAACATAATCTTTAAATACCAATAGTAGTTACTGTTGGTAATATTTTCTTAGGTATTATAAGATTACCAAGATAATATTTTTTTATTACAATTATATCCCTTATTAATAAAATTTTAGGATAGTAATACCTTTATTTTTAAATTAATTTACATGAATATGACTTTTACTATTTCACCCTAATTACTTAACTTTTTGGACAAAATTATCTTTGAATTCAAAACAAATTGCAATCCACCCAAGCCACCACCCCCACTGGCCTACCACTGCCGGCTGTCGACAACCACTGCGGCAGCTAATTTTCGACCAAAGATTTGGCCGGAGAACGGCCAATCGATGGTCGTTAACGGCCACGTCTGTTTAGAGAAGAAGAAGAGAAATATCATCAACACTATTCATTTAAATTATTTAGATTTTGAAAATAATTAATATTTTAATAAATATTATTTAAAAAAGAAAGTTAAAAATTTTATACTTTGGACTGTTTCAAAGATGAAAGATCTATAGAAGCTATCTAGACCAAATTTTGTGGTTTACATAATTGCAGTAGTTAATACGGGATTTAAAATGTAAATTGGGCCAGGTGCAAAGAGCTTTAACTAGAGGTAAACTTAGAAGTAAAATGAGTTTATTTAAGTTAGATCCAAGAGGTCAAGCCTACGAAAAAGTAGAAGTATAAAATAGTGATTTTTTTATTTGTATCTTTAAGTCCAAGAGAATATTGAAGGTGGAGAGTTATTGTACTTTGTATACAATTTTGATTCAAATATTCAATACTATTTGTTCTCGTTCCAAATATCTAATTTTCATTATCAAAACACTAAAAAATATTAGCAGACAACCAAGTCCATTCAAACAAAATATTGAACATAGTCTTTGGGTTTGTCTACAAAGTGTTGGACAAAAGTTTCAAGTGTACAGTACTACCCTTTCATGTGTATCGTCAACAAAAAGCTACTATATATAATATTGTGCATTATTTTTTTCAGGATCACTTCAGCATAGTATGTATACATGATATATGGTACTACCCTTTCATGTGTATCGTCAACAAAAAGCTACTATATATAATATTGTGCATTATTTTTTTGCCTTTTGTTCAAAATCACTTCAGCATAGTATGGATACATGATATATGCTCATGAGATATGCTACTGGTCTAACCGGAAAATTTTCTATGCTTGAAATCAAAGACATGTATCAATACTTCGCAGTTGATCGGTGTAGAAATTTAGATTATTTTGGAGATTTATTACGAAAGTATCAGGAAGATAATGTATGTTTGGGTGATTACCCAAAGATGGTAGTGAAATGTTTAAAGAGAAAACGATGGAAGAAGTTCCCGGTTCCGCCGAAATTTACTTTAAAAAGTAAAAGAAGAAAGAAAAAAGTCTACAACAAGGCCTTGACCTCTGCCAAATTGTAAAATTTTTCAAATTAGAGGGCTTGAATCGGCCCTTTTCACATTATCCTTGAAAAATGCAACCAGAAGAAGATATCAAAAGAAATGTATCGTTTGTGCATGTGCATGTGCACTCAAACTAGTTCAGTAGCAGTGATATAAAAGACAAATGAGGCTTACATAAGTGATGACGATGGCTAGCTCCCTCGTTCCCTATAAAAGGACGCTCAATCTTCTAAGTTTTCCACAAACTCGAAAATGTCTTCCAAATACTTACCAGTGTTGCTCCTTCTCGGAGTGGTTCTTTTCATCACTTCCTCACTTGCTGATAACCATCATGAGCCTCCCAAAAATGAGCATAAGCCACCAGAACACAAACCACCAAATCACAAACCACCTCACGGACACATGTTGGTAGAGGAGGTTGAGGACTCACACAAGCCCAATTTCCCAGGACATGGTGGCAAGGGTGAGAAGCAACCACCCAACAAGCCTAATTTCCCAGGACACGGTGGCAAGGGAGAGAAGCAACCACCAAAACACAAGCCACCGCATGGAAACATGTTGGTGGAGGAAGCTGATGACTCACATAAGCCTAATTTCCCAGGACATGGTGGCAAGGGAGAGAAGCAACCACCCAAACACAAGCCACCGCATGGACACATGTTGGAGGAGGAAGTTGAGGACTCACACAAGCCTAATTTCCCAGGACATGGTGGCAAGGGAGAGGAGCAACCACCCAACAAACCTAATTTCCCTGGCCACGGTGGCAAGGGAGAGAAGGAGCCACCAAAGCACAAGCCGCCAACTCACGGAGAAGTTGAGGATTCACATAAGCCACCCAGGAAGCTGAAGCCACCAACTCATGGAGAGAAGGAACCAAAGCCCTACCACAAGCCACCCCATAAGCCCCCATCTGCCAATTGATCAGCACCTACACATATATATATCTATAGGAATTTCCTCATATGAAGAAATAACAGACCATGCAAATCATATATCAAGTTCTTGAGATTAGTATCCTGTTCTGTGTTTCAGTTACTACTTAAGAAGAGTATTATTTGTTTTGCTTTGGTCACTGTAGTGCTTATTATCAGTGGGCTTGTACCTGATGAGCATATTTTATTCAGTAGTTTGCTCGTCTTATGGTGTCATGTAAATTATCCAGTTCCCCGAGTTATATTTGAGATTTTCTTCTGTTCACTATTTGCATGCCTTTTTTTGCCCTTTATCTGTATTTTAACCTATAAGGATTAAGATTTCTTATATCATCAATTAATATACAATCTTATTTTATCGATCTCCAAATAACGAAAGTGAAAAAATAAAGGGGGGGCTGAAAAAATTCATTGACAATTCATATAATTACTTAAAACAATTAATTTGCAGATAGATTTTAATTAATTTTAAAATTTGTCTGAAATCTCTGTTAAAATTGTAAAAATTATTTTTCAAAAAAGTAATGTGTGAAAAAAATATATGAAAAATCAAAAGGTCAAGCTGACACGCTTTAATTGGTATTAAGAATATAGGATAAGAAAGAAGGTCGACTATCACGCATAATTAGCAAGCCTTTTCGCCGCATGCAAGGAGATGTTTCCTTATATCGATCTTTGATTTTACGTTTAGCTGCTTTTACCCAACACGGAACTTTATAATTAATTTAAAGATAATCATATTAATTTTTTTTTGTTAGAAAGAGGTTTAAGTGTAACATTACTTGTAAGAATGGAATAATATTATATTTATAAAGTACTTATATAAAGATTTACAAATTTTTTATACAAATGTTTTAATATATACGAATAGACAAGATGAATAAATGAATTTGTATACAAACTTAATAGGTATAAAACCGCATTTACTATACTATTTGGTCAATATGAATGAAATATAATACCCTTTGGGTTAAAAAATGCCCCATTAGAATTCCAAAGAATAATGAATGATATATTCAATCTATACTCTCAATTCCTTATTATCTATATAGATGATGTTTTTATATTTTCATCTAATATAGATCAACACTTTAAACAATTAAAAACATTTATCCACGTTGTCAAACCAAATGGTTTAGTTGTATCAAAAACAAAAATAAACATTTTCTAAGGATTCGTTTTTTAGGTCAAATAATCTATAATGGTACAATCATATATATTCAAAGATCCATTAAATTTGGTCAAAAATTCTCTGATGCTATCACTGATAAAACTCAGTTATAAAGATTCTTAGAAAGTCTTATTTATGTAATAGATTTTTAATCCTAAATTTAGTCAAATTTACAGACCTTTATACGAAAGGTTGAAGAATGATCAAAAACTCCATGGACAAGTCAACACGCTAATATAATCTGGCAGATTAAAGCCCAAGCTTTTAGAAAGTCATATCTCAAATTTTCTACTCCCTCACTCTTTTTACGTAACCTTTCGAAACTCTCTCAAAAAGAAGTTTTTATTGTAAGTTAAAATTCTTAAATCTCTCTCTCTCTCTCTCTCTCTCTCTCTCTCTCTTTTCCTCTCTCTATCTATATATATATATATAATATATAAGATATATATATAATTTAAATATTCCACCTCATAAATAAGGAAAGAAAAATGTTTGAAAATATTAATAAAAAAGGGATACATGATTATAATTAAACTCTATTTTTATATGAACTCTCCTAAAATTTTAGTGATTTGTGTAATTTATGTAATTTAATTAAGTCTTTATATTTGTATTTTTATATCAATAAATTTATCCTTACAAAGAAGTATACAAAGTGAAAGAAAAAACAAAAGGAAAACGGAAAAAGAGAAAGAGAGAGAGAGAGAAATGATGAAGATGAACAATCAAACTAAAAGTCAAAAATCTCAACTGAATGGACCCAATAGTTGATGCGTTCCGAAGATTTTGTAACAAAGAGTGGCAGCAATTAACGTAGTATTGCACAATGACATGTATGATGACGAATGCTGGGCCCCATTCTCAAGACCAATTAGAGTAATTCACTGTTCACATGCAGCTTGCACTTCGCACGTTATAACGCGCCCTTCTTTCTTTCTATTCGGATTTTTTTGATTGAATCATTGAATGAAATAAATTTATATTATTATATAGTAGTCGGTGCTTCTAGTTCTATAATTTATATATGTAGCGGCCTTCTTTCGAATCGGATTTTATTGATTGACTAAAATAAATTTGTTCACAATATTTATATTATTATACAATAGTCGGTGCTTCGAATTTCATAGTCTATATGGGTAAGTGTCACTGTTTTACCATATGTATCTGCTCAACTAATAACTAATGTGACCAATTACAATAGGTTATCGTTTACTTTAGCAAAGTTGATGTGCATAAAAAATGATTTTCGACTTAACAACTTAAATATTATAAACCCGTTGGAAAACGATAGCTAGACTATGTTACACTTGGAGCCAAACCATATATATATTATTGATGTTTAATTTTAACACCAACTATTCGTACGTGTAAAGTGCTAAGTAAGCTTAAAAATTACACATGATATGGAAATGTGCAATGAAAGAATAAATAATAAACGATTTTTAAAATGGTTCGGATGCTCAAAAGCGAATCTTACGTCCACTGTATTTGTATTGATGAATGATTACAGTCAGGTCATGAGTAGCGAGCTGAGTTATAATCTAAAGTAAATTTAAATACAGAGAGAGAGTTTACTTTTTGAGGATTAAAAATGTCTAGACCCTGTAAATGAGATAGTAACCCTCTATTTATAGTCGAGGGATTCAAGGTAGTAATCATGATTTTGTAGTCGAGTAGGTGTGGTACAATTCCTAACTTGCTTCCCATTGGCTGACTGTATAGGAGGTATCCTTAAATCGCGTAGGGCTTGAGCAGGCGGACAATTCCTAGCCACTCATAAGCCAAGCCTTCACCTGTCACGCTGACGACAGCCTTACTTCTACCGTCCTTATGTGACGTGGCAATGTCATGACGATACAAAGCCTTCCTGAACTCTGATTGGCCCTTGCTATCATGAGCTTACGTCAATCCTGATTTTTTAGGCATAACAGAAGCCCCCCAGTTCTTAAGGTTTAAGGATTAAATCTTCAGAACTTCATGATTATGCCATGACCTGGCTTATCCTGAGAGACGCTTGATCGAGTTGTATGAGACAAGCAGTTAAGATGATGTGAAACTAGTGGTTCAGCCCGACTAGCGAGCTGTAAGGAGGTCGTAGTATAAGTCTATAAGAATAGCACAAGTGACCTAAGGTGGTCTTCCCCCACATGTTCAGCGACCCGGGGTCAGACCCTGCTTAGTGCTATACCAACATGCTTTGGACTTCATCCGTCAATCACAACCTGAAAATACTTAGCACATTTTTGCCGAAAGTTAGGAAGCACACCGTCTCGAGATCAATATATAAAGAAGAGTGTTTTACTCGAACGACCTCTTCAGATGTTATCCGTTGCACTCAACAGTCAGTCTGGTCAATAATGTAAACTTTATTCTGACAGACATGTCTCTTGCGTAATAAGTGTCAGCCATGCACATTAAATGCAAGCCATGCTGAAACGACATTTCTTTTCAGAGCATTAAATACAGATGAGAGCGCATTTAATGTGTAGGAGATAACCGCGCTGACGCTTGGTTACTCCAATGGAAGGGAACATCGATTGGCATCTACGAAATGTGAAAGTTATCCTTCACGAGGATTAACGACATGTGGACATAATCAATGGCAAGAAACGTGTTCCGCCCAAATGTTGCTTGCTAGGGAAACCAACAGTTGTTTTCCCCCCTTATAAAACCTCAGGTTTGCTTCAAGTTTTATCACAAAACTCACATTGTCAGAGAGAAAAGCAAAACTTTTGCATTTGTGAAATCAGTTTGTTCTTCTTCCAGTTGATGCGAACTTGTCATTATGACAAGAAGTTCATCCCTAGCAATCAAGAGGTAAGGAGAACTTTCCTTCATTTTCCTCTTTTATTTCTGTCAAAAGCTTCACTTTACAGTAATGGTGGGTATGAATTGCCTGGTAAACCTACACGATGCATGTTTTTGAATAGTGTTCGAAAAGGAACACTTTTTAAAAGTGAAAACTTGGGGCACAGATCCTTGGGAATTCATTCTCGAGGGTTGTAACTTCCACATCAAGGTACATAATTTTATTTATACCCTTAGTTAAATTTCTTTGAAGTTACCTTAGACAAATGTGAAGGAAAATTCCTTCAAACTTCATTAGGGGTAAAATGGTCTTTTCACTCATAATTAGTTGAAAAAGTAGGAAGTGAAAGGAAGGAAAATAATGTGAAGAAGATAATAAAAATGAGGGTATTTTGGTAATTGACTAAGGGACATAGATGAATTTTTTAGAAAGTGCAAGGGTAAAATGGGAAACTATATATATATTATTATGTAGTAATAAGAGTTCAAGAGTTGAAACCCTGGCCACTCCACCCATTGTTCACGCCACCTTCACCCAAAATTCTCTTAAATTTCTTCACTAAATTTCCAAGGAAATTCATAGGATTTTTGGTTAGATTTTGGTAGATTTTCAATCCTCAGCATTCAAAAGTAAGATTCTTGCACCAAGATATAAGATTAAATTTTCAAGTTTTGAATTCTTATGATTTTATATGTTTAGGGTTAAGAGGAAGGGGAATTCTACCAAAGAGAGATTATAGTGTTGGAATTGCTCAAATTCAAGTTAAGTAAATCCAACTTTAGCTTTGATTGAATAAATACTTGTGTAGAGAAATTTCGTATATGTTGTATGTGTGTTTGGATGATAAGAATTATGGACTGAAATTGAGGTTGTTTGATTTGTGAATCTTATGGCCATGAGAAGTGATGTATTTGTATGTGTTGAGTTGAGTTGATTAAATGTGAAAGAACGGATATGGAAGGGTGGAAGGTGAAATTCGGCTAGGGTGGTTGTTGGCCTTAGGGAGTTT